TTTTTTTCCAATAAAATGCTTCTGGTACTTATCGTGCTCACAACAAAACCAGACTGATGATTCGTATGAATTGATACGGACTACGTACGAAGAAATTAAAGTCATATCATACCATGGTCAAACTAATGGAGTACTACCTAGTCCATGTATATCTAGGTTAGACGTCGAAGAAAGTGACTCAAGAGACAGTTATGTAAGCAGAATGATACAAATATCATCTGAGGCCTTGTTTAGTTTCTTAAAAATTTTATCAAAAACATCACATCGAATCTTTAACACATGCATATAGCATTAAATATAGATAAAAAATTAATTGCACAATTTGCATAAAAATCACGAGATGAATCTTTTAAGTCTAATTAGTCTATGATTAGTCATAAGTGCTACCGTAACTCATATGTGCTAATGATGGATTAATTAGGCTTAATAAATTCGTATAGCGGTTTCTAGACGAGTTATGAAATTAGTTTTTTCATTCGTGTCCAAAAACCCCTTCCGATATCCGGTCAAACGTCCGATATGACACCTAAAAATGTTCTTTTCGCGAACTAAACACACCCTGAATCGCAACTTAGGGAGAGTGTGAACTCATGCTTACACCTGACAAATCAAATCAAAGCGCGTGCTGCTGAAAATTAGCCAAGCGGATGGGGAAATCTTATTAATTCTAGAATTGTACTATATTTTTTCTTGGAGATTGCTGAGAGTGGGGTGATTTGTTGTAGGGCTATCAATGAGTCGAACTCAAACAAATTCGTCTGCTCAAAGCTTGAGCGCGCTCAGGCTACCAGACTGGACCGTAATAATTAAGTAGTATCAATAATAAAGAGCTCTATAATATATATTTTCAAGGATACCTTTTAATAAAAATAATTACTTTCTAGCCAATGATACCAACAAAAGAGGAGAAAATATATTGCTAACACATGCTAATTCATTTTGTACAAACATATATACTAATGTATATTTGATTTATTAATTAGTTTAATTATCAAATAATCATGGTAAATCAAATAATAAGTCATATAAAGTCCCAAGCTTGTTAGAAGGTTAAGCTTAGCTTGGCAAAGCTCACGAGCTTTAGCTTGGGATTGAGCTCGGTTCATTTGGAGTACATACCGAACTTAGGTAGCTCCTGGGCCTCGAACTTTTCTAATAGTCGTAGTGGTTTCTTTTCTTTGAGTGTAATCAAACTTGTTGCTACTGGAATTGCTCTAAAATCATGCTCTCACAGACTCTGACAAATCTCGTACTTAATCGCTGACAACGAGACGGTGGTAGCAGTCCCAACGAGACAGACTTAAGAAGTGCAGATGGTTAAGAACTGGCTAATGATAATAAGAGTGATAGTACTAACTTCTAAAGTGATCTCTAGTAGCAGTAGAAATGATCTAGTTCGACCCTTTTTTTTAAGTGAGCATATTTGATGAAGTAATTAATAAAGTCGATTCAACAACTTAGATCATTTCTTACCAGTAGTAGAAGCCATCACCATAAAAGCACAAACTTAGGCCCTCTTTGTTTAGGCTTATAAGCCAACTTATAAGTCGAAAAGTCTAAGCCAAAACAAATAAGCAGCTTTTTCATTTGGCTTTTTTGAAGCCATAAGCCACTCTAACACTATTAAGCCAAAAGCTAGGTTGGAGAAGCTTTTTTGGCTTATATGAGATAGATGTATGACTCCACCACTAAACTTAGGACATTAAATCCACTGGCTTATAAATCATATAAGCCAATAAGCTGATTTAAAAGTCTAGGCCAATAAGCCTAAGCCTAAACAAAGAGGGCCTTAAGGTGTTTTGGTTTTTAAGGGAGTAGGTGGTGATCGAGATGGGGGTGATACCGTTACAACAACATGCTAGAAGTGGATAATAGTTGCCAGCTGTTAGAGCTAGAAGTGGGTGATAACCGCATAAAGTGAGGGTGTAAGTGGCCAACAAGTTATGGGGTGTCATTATCCATTTTTTTAATAATGAAAGTAAACTTCATCCTCTACATCAACTATGGATGCATATAGTTATTTAACTGCTGGGCATTAGAATTTAAACTCTAGTGAATAGTGTACTACAGTAATAGGCATTCACGATGTGAGCGAAGTATTATACTACCCCGTATTATTAGGGGTAAGTAAGTTACTAATACAATGATTAGGAGTTATTTTGTTATTTATTTTTTCTCAACTAAATCGATCTATGATCATCTATTGCATTGGCATTGCTCATATTTCATCGAAAAAGAAAAAAAGGAAGACTAAACTTTTTTCTTCTATTTTTTTAGATAATAATGTTACTCCATATATTTTTACTACCGCTAACAAGAGTGATGATATAAATAGATATGAACCTTTCGATCAAATAAGATCAACAATTTAAATTATTTTCTACTATTAGTAGAGAACACTGTAGTAAGGCTCCCGGTAAAAGGTTCCGTATAGTTATCTTCGGACCGGACGTGAGACCGACGGTCTGCTTTGACGCTAGAGACGATGGTGCTGTGAAAAGCATATCAGTAGGAGGATGCTAAAATTTGAAGAGAAATGCTTATACAAGCACCTCTGTTCACTTCCTCTCGATCCGGCAACAAATGTCCGCCGGCCGCAGGCATTGCTAGCTAGCTTCTCGTATACACGGTCGTCACGCCATCCATCCGCGCCTCCCTGAAGTCCCATCGGCTTGCTGCTCACAAAAAACATGAATATTAGAGAAGAAACTAATATCAAATAATTAAAAAGGATGAGGATTCGAATCCAGATCGTTTAACCCATCATCTTAACTTGTGAAGCTAGCCGGAAGCGTCTCCCTGTAGTCTTCCATCGGCATGCTACTCACGCCGATGATGAGGTCGTCCACATAATAGCCATCCCCATCGAGCTCTGGACGGGGCAACCCCATCAAAATCCATAATCCAGAGTCTCTCAAGTCTCAACACACTTCAAGGTTGTCTCCTGGTATTACGAGTAAGTGAGACCTGGGCAACGTTGGCTAAGGGAGGCGGAGGCGCGGAACAGCATCGACCGGGTCGGGACGACACAGGCAAATTAGCAAGAACCTGGCAGCTAGCTGATGATAGCAACAGCGCATGGGTTTTGATTTTAGCGATTAGCGAGACCAGTACGTAGTACTAGAGTGCTAGGTACGTACTCCCTCTGTCCTATAATATTCCTCTTATTTAAAAAAATTAAAATTATTTTTTTACTAACTTTATTATCTAAAGTATTTTAAGCACAACTTTTTATTTTTTATATTTACATAAATTTTTTAAATAAGACGAGTGGTCACATTATAAGGAAAAGCTCAAAATATTATAGTGCGGAGGGAGCAGTAGTAGTGCTGCTTCTTCTACCGGTAGAAAACAGGGCATATAGCAAGGGGCAACTACTGGACAAAGGGACGTCAAGACATGGGCCAGTTCAACACCCGTTGGCCTCGCGGCTGCTTGTTCGCTTCTACTGTACTCATTAAAAAAAAACAAACCCTATGTATGTTTTCGTGTTCAACGTTTGACCGTCTGTCTTATATAAAATCTTTTATAATTAATATTTTTATTGTTGTTAGATGATAAAACATGATTAATACTTTATGCGTGAATTTTTTAAAATTTTTTTATAATTTTTTAAATAAGACGGACGGTTAAACATTGGACATGAAAACCAGAGTTTGCTTTTTTTTTGAAAATTAATATTTTTATGGTTGTTAGATGATAAAACATGATTAATACTTTATGTGTGAATTGTCTTTTAATTTTTTTTATAATTTTTTTAAATAAGACGGACGGTCAAACGTTGGACATGAAAATCAAAGTTTGTTTTTTTTTTTGACAGAGGGAGTACGTGGCTGTGCCTGTTCCATCGGATTTTTCCTTGGTCAGTTTTTTTTTTGTTTGTTTTCCAATGGGGCCTGCACGCTGCTTTCACTGTTTAGCACGAAAGTTGTTTTTCATTTTCATTGTTAGAGGCCTTGAGGGAAGCTTTCTATTTTTGTTACCAGAATTATGTTCAAAAAAATTATATATAGGAGATTTACAAGAATTTCACAACGTAACACGGGAAATCGAAGAAAATTCTTGTATTTATTAAACAGGTGCACTAAGCTGTATACGTACAAACACTTGTAACTTTCTAAACAGAAGAGGAAAGACATTGTTGACATTTCTTAATCTCTGTGGGAAAAATAGTACTCCCCTACTAGTACTACTTTTTGGGGAGGAAAAGGAGGGGAAAGAACTTGTAATAACATGGGCCAGGAACTCCGGGTTGTCATGTACAGGCCCTTCTTGGCCCAGTACAAATACCACGGGCAAATTGGGCTAGCTACGGCCCATCCTAATTTCTCGGTGGGCCAGATTAATTAGACCATTGAGAGTCGCCTTCTCCGCGGCGAGGGAGAGCACCAGCAGGAGTGCAGAACAGCGCTCGTTGGGCGCGCGGAGGCGGCGCCGTTCTCCCCCACCTAGCGCCGCCGTTTCGCCGCCTCGGCAGGCGCGCCGGCGCCCCCTTGCTAGCTGAAGTCATCAACCAGTGCCCGCGACGCCCGTGGCTGGCTCCGTCCGTTTGCTGCCACGACCCACGAGGGGGCGCCGGCGGAGTCACGAGTACTCGCCGCGCCCCGCGAGGAAAGATCGGCGCCGCTCACCCACAAGTCCGCCGCTGTGGCTCGTGCCGTCCGATTTCAGGTTTTCTCACTTGAACCATCTGAAGCAATTCAACTGAACCTTTCCTGAACTTCTTTTTCTGAGGCTTTGGTTGTAAATGGCAATAGCATATTCTGCAGTAGGATTTCGGCATAGATTGCTACTCCAGCAGGATGGCATTTTTTTTAGCTAGATAATGATAAGTAGTATAGGACTGGGGTTGTCAGTGTTCTGTTGCAAGTCCGGTAGCAGGCAGCAAGTTCCGTTCTACCAGGATTAGCATGCTCACATCACCTGATAACCTGATGCAACTATAAAGATGTCAGGCAAAAATATCCAACAAGAATCTTGGGGCGACTAGCTTATGAAGATAATCACAAATAACTCCAATCTTATGCACACTGGAAATCTAGGCTTCAGGGTTTATGACAAGAGCAAAGAACAACAAAAATATCTTCAGCACTTCCAGTTGCCCAAAGAATAAAGGGCAACCTGTCTGACTACTTCGATGAGTATTTCAGAACTTTATATGATACATGAGATGATGAGAAAAAAAATATCTGGCAACAGTTCCCTTTCTGCCACAGTTCAAAGCTAGAATATACGCAAGCTTTACATCTACTGGCATTACTATTTTTAATCAAAATTACAAACAAAATGGAAGGCGACGGCGGTTATGGTTGCGAATGTAGCGGATCAGATCATCGCTATTGTTCTTGTGGTAAATAATTGCATTACTCAGTTGCTTGATAGCTTCTCTTTTCTCTTGCACCCTAGCTGATATCTCTTCTTCTTTCTCGTCAATTGTCTTCTCAAGGTGAGCCATCTTCTTCTTCGCCTCGGAAGCACTTCTCACCATTTCTGACAAAACGTTTTCTTTCTCTCTCAACCTCATACCTAGCACATCATTCTTCTTGACCAATTCTTTCTGTTCAGCAAGATGGTGCTGTAACCTGTTCCTTAAGAGCTTGAGCTCTTCACTGCATGCAAATGAACGGGCAGAGAAGTGGGAAAAACTCTTATTGAAATGTGATTCTAGCTGATCCAATTGATCAACCAGTGTGGAGGTTCCGGACTCAGCATTTCCTTTTATTTGTACGAGAGTTTCTTCCAGTGAGTTGATCTGTCCAGAATATTTCTGTATTTTCTGTTCAAGATACTGGATCTCTCTATGTGATTTTTCCACTGCCATCACATAGCTGTCTTCTTTGCTTTTGCTTTCTGCCTCAGTAACTCTAAGCTTCTGCCTGGCTAGCTGGAGCTGAGCTTCAAGTTCTTGGACATGATTTTGTAGCTTTCTGTTCTCTTTGTTTGCAGATGTATTTTCCTCCCCTAAATGACGATGTTTCTCCATAATTTCTGTGTGTTTGTTCTCCAATGTATCTATCTGCACGAGGTGATTCCTCCTAAGTACCTCAAGGTGTGATGCCTTTGTGGATACCTCTCCATATGCATACTGGAGTCTCTGGCAGCTGCCAATAATTCCTCTGAGGCTCTGCTGGAGGCAAGCAATTGCTATCTCACGATCTGTAATTTTTTGCTTTACTTGATCTTCGAAATCTTTCATAAATGACATTTTCTCCATGCATGCTTCGGTAATAATTTTCATATGCTCCTCCACTTTGTTCTTCTGAGAAGATAATAGAACAATTGTATTTACCAAATCTTTTGTGTTAGTTTCCATGTCATTAATTTTACTGGCAGTCTCAGCTTGAACTGTCTCGAGCTCCTCAGTTAAGTTTGACACTTTCAATATTGCCTCCTCCAATTGCTTGTTCAAGCTGGAATTGCTTTCCATCTGAACTGATAGTTCCTCCTTCAGCTGTGCCAACTCACTTTCAAGATTCTTGATAGAATCCTCTGACTTCTCTAGTTGTGTTAGTGTGGCATCCTTCTCTTCATGTGCCATCTTAACCTCCTCCTGCAGCTCAATCTTGATTACTTCGAATTGCTCAGTCAAGGTACAATTGTTCTTCTTTAAGTTATCATTAGCGTGCTGTAGAGTTGAAAGGTTCTCTGTTTGCTTTTCTAGCACCGTCTCCAAGTTCCTCGCAGAAGCCAGAGATTGCTGTAACTCTAATTGAGCTGCATCCTTCTCTTCATGTAGAGCTGCAATCTCAGCATGCAGACTAGTCCTTATCTCCTCCAATTGCTGGTTCAGTCTATAATTGTTATCCTTCATTTCTTCATTAGATAGATCCAAGATTGAAATTTTCTCTCTTCCTTGCTCTAACTCCATTCTGAAGTTCTCGATAGAGATTTCAGACTGCTGCAAGTCTGACAGTGCTTTGTTCTTCTGTTCTTGTAGTGCTAAAATTTCAGCATGAGAACTAACCTTGGTGTCTTCAAGTTCCTTCTCCAGGTTAGCGATGCTCTTGTGCAGATCGTCATTAGCAAGCTGAAGAATAGAATTATGTTCTCTCTGTTTCTCTAATTCCTCTTCAAATGTCTTAATTGAAGTGTTTGACTGCTGCAAATTATCAAGTGCTCGTTCCTTTTCTCCTTGTAGCTTAATGATCTCGTCCTGCAGCTTACTTCTAGCCTCTTCTAGTTGCCTCTCCAAACTAGAAATTTTCTCTCGTAATTCTTCATTTGCTTGCTCTAGAGCTGAAACTTGGCTCTGTTTCTGTTCCAACTCACTTTCAAGATTCTTCAGATTAGCCTCCAGCTGTTGTACCTGTAGGAGTGCTGCATTTTTCTCCTCTTGGCATACTGTAAGCTCATTATACATATCAGTCTTCGCTGCTTCAAGGTTTTCAACAGCTTCCTGAAGATTTGAAATTTGTTGGTTTTGCTCTTCTAACTTGTTACCGAGCTCAACAGTAGAAGCAACAGCTTCATTCTTCTGTTCTTGTACCATTGCAAGCTCATTTTGTAAATTGGAATTTGCCAACTCCAATTCTTCATTATTCTTCTGCATAACTGAAATCTGCTCAAATTTCTGTTCCAAGTCATTACCAAGATTCTTAAAAGAAGCTTCTAGCTGTTGGAGCTCTGATGCCAGAGAGCTTCCCTCTTTTTGCAGCACTGCAATTTTATCATTCAAATCACCATTTGTTGATTCTAGTTCCTTAACACTTGACTGTGCCTTCTCCAACTCAGTTAGGCACTTGGAATGTTCGGATACTAGCATTTCCTTTTCTTCTGCTGCAGCTCCACGTTCTATGTTCATACTGTTCATTAGCTCCTCTTTCTCTGCAATCAGACCATCTATCTCCACGCCTAAAAGTTTAAGTTTGCTCTCAAGTAAATGTTTTTCTTCAGTCAAGGTGCTATTTTCAGCTTTTGTTTTAGCAATAGTTGCCTTCAGTTGAGAACATTCAGTACCTAAATTCTGCTCACATGCTTTCAGGTTATCATTCTCCCTTGAGAGCATCAAATTCTCATTCTTCATCTTCTCAATCTCTGATAACAAGGTCTGCACTTCTTTCTCAGCTAGCTGGGCCTTCTCGAGTTGGGATGACAAGAAGGTGCATTTCTCTTGGTGTACTGTAACCTCATTATACATATTGGTCTTTGCCGCTTCAAGGTTTTCCACGGCTTCCTGCAGATTTGAAATTTGTTGGTTTTTCTCTTCTAACTTATTACCGAGCTCAAGAGTAGAAGCAACAGCTTCATTCTTTTGTCCTTGTACTGTTGCAAGATCATTTTGTAAATTGGAATTCACCAACTCCAAGTCTTCATTATTCTTATGCATAATAGAAATCCTCTCAAGTTCCTGTTCCAAGTCATTACCAAGATTCTCAAAAGAAGCTTCTAGCTGCTGTAGCTCTGATGACAGAGAATTTTTTTCGTTTTGCAGCACTGCTATTTTATCGTTCAAATCACCATTTGTTGATTCTAGTTCCTTAACACTTGACTGTGCCTTCTCCAACTCAGTTAGGCACTTGGAATGTTTGGATACTAGCATTTCCTTTTCTTCTGCTGCAGCTCCACGTTCTATGTTCATACTGTTCATTAGCTCCTCTTTCTCTGCAATCAGATCATCTATCTCCACGCCTAAAAGTTTAAGTTTGCTCTCAAGTAAATGTTTTTCTTCAGTCAAGGTGCTATTTTCAGCTTTTGTTTCAGCAATAGTTGCCTTCAGCTGAGAACATTCAGTACCTAAATTCTGCTCACATGCTTTCAGGTTATCATTCTCCCTTGAGAGCATCAAATTCTCATTCTTTATCTTCTCAATCTCTGATAACAAGGTCTGCACTTCTTTCTCAGCTAGCTGGGCCTTCTCGAGTTGGGATGACAAGAAGGTGCATTTCTCATTTGTTTCTTGTAGCTGATTGCTCAAATCCCCATTCATGTTCTCCAGATCTACTATTGAAATCTTCAGGTCATCTCTCTCTTTTTCAGTAACTTGCTTCTCAACAGACAGTGTCCTAATCTCATTCTCCATGAGTGTTATTGTTTTGTGTGATTCTCCTGCCTCTCTCTCTGTAGTTTCAACCAATAACTTTAGATTTTCATTCTCAGATGACAAATTTGCAACATCCGAACTTAACTCTACCCTTGTAGCTTCTTTATCCTTGATTGCTTTATCCAGTAGGTGCTTCAGATCAGATATTTCCTTTGCTTGTTCTTCTGTGTTTTGTTTCAGCTTCTCAATTTCTGCTTCCAGACTTTCTTCTTTGGCTTCACGATCTTCAACAAGCTTCTGTTTCCAGCCATTTTCTTCACTAAGTGCATCTTCTACCTTTGTCTTAAGATTATTATTGTCTGAGCTGTCTCCCTCGTCGTCTGAATCAGATGAATCCGAATCACTGGAACTGTGCCCAACATTTTCTAGTTTACCAATTAGCTGTTGGTAGTGCTTGTGAAGGTACTCATACTCTTCATGGAAGCCCTTCACAAGGGAGGACAGTTTTGATTTCTTGAAGGCATTTCCAGAATCATCTGAGGGTTCAGTCTTGGCCGATTCATTCTCCTCGCCTATCATCCGTAGAATGTTTTCCACATTATCATCAACACCTGTGGGAAAACCAAAACATAAACTCATTTCAGACAACAAATGGCTAGGGGAGTTTATTGATTACAGTACAAGCCAGAGTTATTCTAGAAGAACTAAAATATAGCGGTTTTCATCAGGAATGAATGAGAAAATACACAAGCCTTATGAGCGTGCTACTGATGTTTGAATTATGTTAGGGATCATCCAACCGGAACGACATAAGATCAACAGGAATATTACATTTGAGAAACGCCTAGGGGTCTTCCGGCTAGCTCCACAAGGTGGTGGGCTAGACGATCTAGGTTCGAAACCTCACCCCTTCTAATTATTTGATATTAGGTCATTCCCTAATATTCGCGTCTTTAACAGGAATATTACATTTACAAGAATAATTTGGTATATATAGGAGCAAATTGCAAATTGTGATCCAAGCACAAGAACCTATATAACAAATTGATTTGAGTTAAATACTTGTCAAGAGAATACCTTTTTTGTTCTCCAGAAGATGTTTGGATTTCCTAAGTTTGTGTTTCTTCGTCATGTCGAACTGCTGAATATTCTTATAATGGCAACAAATGGTATTTGCTTGCAGAGGAGATGATCTAGTCAAAATTGATCATACTTGAGGTGATATGATGCTCTAGCCTCTAACTCCAGATTATGTTTTATTCGTGAACGAGAGAAGCCCCTGAGTGAACTGTGTAAAGAGCATAAGAATATGATCAGTAAGGCGCCTAATCGTATAATCCCAGAGAAGAGCTCACCAGAACAGCAAAAAGAATTTTGACAAGAAACTATTTGAAGATTATGTGAAAAACATTGAAGCACTTAGCAAAAAAAGAAAGACGGTATAGAGTAGAATTGATTATCCAACTTCTTTGAAAGGGCACCAGGATCGTGCACTCTTAGTTTTGACAGACAAATGGTTGAAACATCGAAACGATAAGGTCATCTGATGATGGATATGCAAGCTGCATTCTGGAAGGTTGGGAAAAATTTCTGGGATTTCATTTACAGCCATTAAAATTTACTAAATTTGTTGTCTTTGCACTTATGCAATTATTATACACGTGAATCATATCTATGATGCAGCACAAAATGTTTAAGTAGCATATCAAGCATAATCTCACTGAACCATAAAAAGGGATATGATCTATAGAGACTAAGGTAGGGTTTCAGCCTGTCTTTTTTCTTTAGAAAAGAACAACATTTTATCTAATGTCTAAATATTAGAAACATAACTACTACTAGTTAACTACCCCCTCTGTTCTCGAGTAGCTGATCCTTTTGACTGTTGTTGTCTCACTTTGACCATACATTATTTTTAAATGGTTATATTTTGATGAGTGAAAATTGTGTGGTTATACTGGATGTGTTTTATGAACCCTTCAAAAGAGCACTACAACCATATGATCGTTCATATTCTCTACTGTAACCTTGAGCTAATAATTCTGAAATATGGTTTTAGATTCTGTAAAATCCGTCCTCAAGGTTTCTTGTAACGGTCAATTTCGTTATTACGGGATGATGGTGGTGGGTCCCACGTAAAGAACCACTACTCAAGAACACTGAGCTCAATAATACAAATACTGAGCTGAAGATGGAGTAGTACAGTATCAAGGAAGAAACCTAAAAAAATCAAAAGGGTAAAAGAATAACCAATGGCTAGAATGCAAACAGAGAAGAACAAGGCCAATCTGCCATCTCTACGACTCTCTTTACCACTTGACGCATCAACAACACCCCATATCACAAAGGACCCTTTACCCAACCAGTAGTACACACTAGTACTGAGCAAGAACTGATCAATCAAGAAAGCAAAAAAAAAAGAAAAGGAAAACACACACACACAGAACAAATCAACAAACGTACCAAACGAAATGCCTCCTCCTCTCTGTCCACAACCGCTCCTTGAATCTGAGCTGAGATCTGAAGAAGAAGAAGAAGGAAGAATTATTTAAGGGTGATCAAGAAACGGATTGCAACCAAGAAAGAGAAGCAAACCGAAGCTGATAAAGCCAAGAGGCGTTTCTGATAAAGCCAAGAGGCGTTTACCTGCCTGAAGGATGAACCGCTCGTTTGTCTTGATGAAGCCAAATAAAAGCTAAAGATTGCAGTGGCGGCGGCGGCGGCGGCGGCACGCTGATCGCTGCCTACTTCTACTGGTGGAGTAGACTCTAATGTGTGGGCAGGAATTAGAAAACGCATCCGGAGGAGAAGTGAACAACGATTTGTCCTTTTGAGCATTCCCCCCAGATGCTGCATCGACCCGAAAGCGCCCCTTGTTTCCGTACCTTATTACGGGAAATGCCACTGAACCCAAGTGAATCCCAAACAGTGCTCCCGCCAATCCAAACGCGGAGATGGACACGCGGAGCGGTCACCGCCATGTGGGGCCCAGGAGCTGTGTGGCCTGAGCTGGCGCGTGCGTGGGAGCCAGCTAAGCAGGGTGTCCGTCCTTTCTTGTCTCGTCCTCGCGGTGACGTGGCGTTTTCCGGCTTCGGGTTCCCGCCTTCATGGCGGGAAGGCGGTCTCAAGGCGAGGATCCTCTGCATCAAGCCGTTGCGTTGCATCCGACTTCATAATAATCAGATGCTCTAGATGAATCGCTAAACTCGCTATTGTACAGATATCCTTCTAATAATCGTTACGAGATCGATGTGACAAGTTGCAAAAAAAACAATTCGGTTTAGAAAACAAAATGCAATTTTGTGGCTGTACTAATTTCTGTGTGGTGGTAGCACAATGTGCAGCAGTATTACTGTATTGCACGTCATGGAATCCATTGTTGTTTTGCTTGGCACAGAAGATCATTGCTGGGAGAAGAGCTGTGCGTGGTGGGGGCTGACGAGGACGGCATGCCTCCTGGCTTGAATTTGATTGGCGCTCTGCGGGGTTTTTTTTTTTTTTCTGTTCTTGTTGTCTCCTCCGGTCCTCCACGAGGAATCATTTTTCTCGCGGATTCAATTCCGCGGCATCAAATCGAAACTGCGTTACGATTAGTTCACCGAGGGCGGTGACAAAACGGTTATGTGTAGATTAATCGCTTCTTTAACTGAAGATCAGTTTCATAAATTCGCATGTGGAGCCTGCAGTGACGGCGCCAACAGAGAACGGGACATTCTGTGACCGCATCAGCGATGAAACTGATCTCTGACGTTGACGATTGATTTTTTTTTTTTTTGGCAATGCTACTGCGCAGTATTTGTATTACTACTTGGTTGCGTCATCCGCCACTGAGATCATGCGTTCTTACGTAAACATGCCAAAATTCATATTATCTTTTGGAAAAGCAAATCCTCCTTCTATCATGCATTCTATACGCAATTCGTTCGTGGTTTTGACAAACCGGCTCTAGTCAGTCTTCAGAGTTACAATTCAAGCTAAAAACTAAGGCCGTGTTTAGTTCACCCCTAACTATCCTAAACTTTTTAACTTTTCATCACATCATATCACATCAAAAATTTTCCTACACACATAAACTTTTAACTTTTTTTCCAAACTCCTAACCTTCCCCAAACTTCCAACTTTTTTCAGGAACTAAACACACTCTTAAACTTGACATCAGAACAAATTCTTTGGACGGTGGAAGAACTGCAAATTTTCGGTTCAGATCCAATCCGAGCCCAGATCTCCCGCCATCTCGCTCATGATCGAACAGAACAGGCACTGACCTGTAGCGGAACTTGAGGACAGATTCGTTTTCTGAAAGGCTTTAAACTTCAGACAGATTATTGGCGCGTAATCGTGGGGTGCACCATGTGACCGTGACCTGTGGGATCCATTGCTCTCTGCCTCTCTGGACTCAAGCGCAAGAGAAGACAAGGCCCTGAACATGTTAACTGTGCTACCATTGCGACACAGCACCACATGGTGTATGAGATGCATGTGCACATGACACTGAGTGTTACATGATCATGGATTTATTAGCTGTTTTTATCTTTGTTTTTGTGTGTACTCCATTTCTTTTTTACTCACAATTCCTGAAGAGAGGAATACTGGTTGTCTTGGAGGGTAGAAAAGTAGAAAACGTGAAGGATCAACTGAATATAAGAGTATTATTGGGCAAATTGCCTGTTCTGATTACCAGATATTCCTACTCCAGGCTGTTGTTGTATGATGGATCCAAAAGGTTCATAGTTGCTAATGAGGGCAGTACTCGTAGCGTACACAATTACCACAAGTTGTGCTTTGCTAAGTATGGCAGTCAAATCCTGCTTTGCTTCACTTTTTTTTTCCTTCTCTTTTCTACATATGAGGTAGACTCATTAAAGGCCCAGAATAGGATGGATTGGGAAGAAATTTGGAAATTCGAAGCACATTGGAGTGGTTGTACTTGTCCCTGCTATCAGTTGGCCCAATGGTTACATGACCATACTCCAGTACATACAATGGGTGAAGTTTGGTTTCTTCTATTTGCAGTTATTATTCTTTCACTGTCGCTCTGACCTCAAGTAAAGTTGCAACCATCCTTCAAAGAGTAGACTCGAGAGTAGTTCCTCCCTCTGCTGATGTCTATCATATCTGAGAGGCTGAATTTCGCATTATATTCCAAATCTCCACGACCTTTTCTGCTTGGAAATGCGTTTAGGCATCAAACAGTTCGTATGGGCCTAATCTGTTTCTAGGCCTCACTGCCCTCTGACTGGCCACTGGGGGGAATAAGTTCATCTGAGGTCCCTTAACTGTCAACGAATCCGATTTTCGTCCTTCAAGCAGAAAACCGGATACAACGGGTCCCTTAACTGTCAAAACCAGTGCAGATAAGATCCCTTGGCGGTTTTGGCTGACGTGGCGCCTACGTAGCTAATTTGACTTCTTTATCTGATGTGGTATTGACGTGACGTGCTTACGTGGCAATTCGATCAAATAATAATAATAAACTTCGTGGGACCCACATGTCAGTTTCACACATAAATTTTTTTAAAAAGGTGGGCCCACATGTCAGGTAAAAAATAAAGATGGTGGGGCCCACGTGGGCCCCACAAGTCCTTCTCGGCTCTCCCTCTTCTTCCTCTCGGCTCTCCCTCGTCCAGTCGTCCTCGCGGCGGATAAGCGGCAGGAGCGGAGGGGCGGAGCGGACCGGCAGCGGCAGCAGGCCGCGGGCGGCGGAGGTGGCCGGAGGAGGAGGAGGCAGATCTAGGAGGAGGTCGTCGGCGAGCGCGGCAGCTCCACTCCGTCGGCTGCTCCGCCCCGCCCCTCCGCCGCGATGCCCGCGTTTGCTCTCTCTCGATCGAGCGACGCGAGCCCAACAGCGACGGCCGACGGAAGAAGGCGGCGGAGGGAGATCATCTATCAACTCCGGCGGAGGGAGCTCCTCGCCCGGCCACCACGCCGCAACCGAAGCGCCACCACTCTACCGAGGAGGCAGCAGCCATGGCGCCAGTGCCACGAAGCAGACGCTGCACGCCGCGTTGTCGTGGTCGACTTCGTCGTAGTGGCGGAATATTTGTGTCTTGGCGCTGCTTTCGAGCGTCACGCCGGCGATTGTTGTGCTGCTGCTGCCGGCTCTCTTGAGGGACGAGACGAGCCACCTCAGCAAGCCGCCAGGATGGAGCTTGAGGAGGAGGCTCCCCAGTGCGTTCGCGGGTTCGGGGGCGACTGCATCCAACGCACCAACAAAACACCACACGAATGAACAAACCCAGTCACCACCAAGCAACCTAACACGTAAATACATAATCAAGAGAGTAGAGAGAGCACGTATGGTGAATTGGTGACTCCGGATCTCTCCTCCATCGCCGGCAGGCACGCCTGCGCGCATGCACCAACAAAAACTAATCCATAGAACGGATTATGCATCATTCCTCAATAGCGCAACAAAAACTAATCCGTCTTTCCGTCTCGCGCTCCCCCACGTCATGGCTGCCGTCGTGTCGTCGTCACGCGGTGGTGACGGAGGCGCGAGCAGGAGGAGGGAGTGCACGTGCTCGCCCACCACGCAACCGGGCTTCTTCCGATGCGCGCTGCACCGGAGCGGCGCGTCGCCGTCGCGTCCCTCCTCGCTCGGCGGAGAGGACAGATGAGAGGGGAGAGAGATGAATACAGGGGGTTGGGGGGGGGGGGGGGGGGCGAGAGGAGGAAGAAGATGAGGGTGAGAATGACATGTGGGGCCCACGGGGTCCCATCATTTTTAAATTATTTTTTTAAACTAACATGTGGGTTCACAATTTTTAATATTTTTCAAATCAAATTTTCACGTAAGCGTCACGTCATTGCCACGTTATGTGAAGACCGAGTCAAAATAGCCATGTAGGCGTCACGTCAGTGAAAACCGCCATCCAAACCGCCATGGGATCTATATTGAACCAGTTTTAACAGTTGAAGAACCCGTTGTATCTGGTTTTCCGGTTGAAGGACGAAAATCGGATTCGTTGACAAATTAAGGGACCTCAGATGAATTTATTCCCCACTGGGGCATGTGGCCCACGAGAGAGAAGGACATAGAGCCATAGCCCATGGAGGAGACGGGTCATTTGGTCCAGAACGGTTGGTGGACTGGTGGTGGTCCAAGAAGAGAAAAAGGCAGGGAAGAGGGACTGGGCTAAGGTGATGATTGTGGCCCAAGGTGAACAGCAAACTGAAACTCTAGGATTTTGGTGGAATATGATGAATTTTGGAGAGTTTAGGAATGACTTGAACTCGAAGAGCGTGAAGGCTCCAAAATGGGAACGCAAACGAAATGCGGAAGATAACATTTTTACAAAAAGAAAAAAAAACTTTACTTGATGTTGGAGGACATCGTAGTAACTTACGGTGAATTTCATCTTCGACTCCCTCTTTTTAGCAAAGTTTCATCTTGCATCCCCTCTAGTCCAAATATTCATTTTGGACCCACTATCTTACCCTTTTAGTTTCGTATCGGACACTTCTTTACTCTTTTTGTCGAGGTCAGTCCTAGCATGCCACTGTGATATTATCCCTTTGTCACGTTCATCTTGTCTCCACTTACCCATGTCAGGGGATCCAAGATGGAAAAAAAAAGAGTAAGGAAAAGAGATCCAAAGTGAAAAATATAAGCTAAGGATGTGTTCGCAAGTAGGGGAACTGGGGAACCCCTCCTCTCTGTCATATAAAACGAAACATGCATTAGCGCATTATTAATTAAATATTAGCTAAAAATAACTTTAAAAATAGATTATTATGATTTTTTAAAAACAACTTTACTTATAGATTTTTTTATAAAAAACATCGTTTAGCAGTTTGGAAAACATGTACGTGAA